TGCTATTCTATCTCCCATTTCATGCCTCTGCACACATAATCAGTCATGTCTGGGATATATTACCTTCTCACCTTTTACCTTGTGGAATCCCTGGCTTCCTTCAAAGCACAGTTCAAATGGTACCTTTTATATCGGGCCTCTTCTGATCTCTATTCCCAGCCCAGTTATTAGTCCTGTCTCTCTCTCTTAAAATTACTTTCTCTTACATTGGCCCTTGTACCATTCAGTCACCCTATAAATGTGATACCTGCCTGAGGGCAGGATAGGTGAGCTCTAGGCCATTAACGAGAATTAGGTTATTTACTTTTATTTGTTTACTTGTGTACATGGCTTTTTCACCTAGCAAAATGTACCTCCTGGAGTGCAGGTTTTGTGTGTGTGATTGCATCCCCAGTGCCTTGCCTATAATTGGCACTTAATGCATATTTGTTGAATTAAATTGAATTGCAAATAAATTGGGAAAACTGCAAAGTTCCTTTATAACTCCCACTTAAATACTTTGCTTATAGATCTTTTGCTCTTCCAAAAAATTAAATTTTCCGTAAGCTCAGGCACAGTAAACTGAACTGGTGTGTGTTAGGGAGAGAGGAGAGTATTGAGGAATAAATCTTAATACTCAACTTTTGGGAGGAGGAGACAAACTATCTGAGATGGACAAACAAGAGTGAACAACTCATTCTGCACAAGTCGAGAAAAAGGGGGTACAAATAACACTGTGTATAAGGCATCCCCCGCTGCTGTTTTTCTGTCAGAAACTGAATTATTCTTATTTTAAAAAACACAGAATTAGAGCTAGCGGAGGCCTTAGGAGTCATCTATTCTCTCATTCTCTTGCTGAGGGAACTGAGACACATGGAGGTCAAGTGACTTGTCCACTGTTACACAGTCAGTAAATATCAGAGTTAAATCTGAACCTAGGTCCTTTAACTCCAGACCTCTATAACATGTGGTTCTGCTTGATCCTAAGCTTCTTGAGGGAAGGAAGAGTATCTCACCCATCTTGGTATTCTCTTTGGTGCCTACTATGGTGTTTTATATGTGGGAAGAGCTCAATAAATATCTACTAACTTGAACTGATCTTTCTGAAGCTCAATAGGTGAAATGTAGGAGGGCTTTTAGAAATGGGCTTTCCTTTCTTCTGAATTAGACATCTTTTAAATAAGATCCTGCCTTGAAAAGAATGTGTCGACAACACCACACTTGCTGGATCATCAATGCATCATGTATGGAAAGTGGTTTAATTTGTATAAATGCTTATAGATTTGTGGTTAACTTTGCCTCCTTTCCAATATTACACTTCCTATCCCTTCTTGAAGAATATTAACTCTAATCTTCTTGCTTGAAGTGGTTGAGCAGAGAGGAATTTGAGAAGCCAGAAATGTCCTACCTAAATACAAAAATCAATCAGTTCTAATGGGTCCAAAGCCCTTCCATAAATATCTTTCTCCATGCCCAAGCTTATCAATTAATATTCCCCAGCCTAAAGGAATGGTACTATTCACAATGGCTACTTTTTCACATCCTTATCTTCCATAAATACTGGGCCAGGGGATATATCCCATCTCTCACCCTACCTCCTTTCAAACTGACTGCTTTTCTATTGTTATCCAAATTCAAATTTAAGCTTCAGTGGAATTATTTCTGGCACAACTTTAGGAAAGGAGAAATAGAAAAAAATCAGCTGATAGGATAGAGTAATCTTCAGGGAGAGAGTCAGGGAGCATCAAATCTGAATTTATTGGTATAGCAAACTCCTGGGGAAGAATCAAGCCTTCCCAGTGCACATCAAGCACTTACTCTGCTATAACTTACAGTGTTAGAGACTTGCCTGGAAATTAAGTGAATTACCCAGGCTCATAGAGCCAGTATTGGTCAGAGGCAAGACTTGAACTCAGGTTTTTTGACTCCAAGACCAGATCTATCCACCATACTGCGTAGCCTCTCTATAAATATGGTATATCTATATGTAAGAAGTAGTATGGTTTGTTGAATAAAAGACCAGCTTTGGAAGACCTAGATTTTATCATTCCTGCCTTTGTCACTTTCCAGTTGTGTGATCACAGACAAGTCATCTAATCTCTTAGTGCCCCAAGTAAATCTTAAGATTATAGGTTGAAGATGAGTTGTCAGTATTCATCAGTGGAAGATATTTCCACACTGAGTTACTCATATCAATAATATCACAGGTCTGAACAAACAAAAAACATATGTGTAAATATATAATATGTAAAATATTATATGTGATATATGTTATACATATATTACACACACTGGCTTATATTAGGATTGAACCCATGACCTCTGAACCAAAGAGTCTTGAATATCTTTCTTTTCACACTATCTTATCACATTATCATATGTGAAGACTTTTGGGTAAAAGAAAATGAAATATATACATATTTCTGCAAAATAGATGCTTGATATGGAATGCCACTTTTATTCCTTGGTGAGATTATCCATAAAAACTGTAATTTCATAAAACTATTTCAGAGACAAAGCCTTTGTGCTGGGATTTCTTTCCTCCCCTTAGTGTTATCAGTTTCTTCTTCCATTTGCATAATTCATGGACTCCTGCTATATTCCTTTGGTACATGTAATAAGATACCCTGGTAATCATGAGAAGGAACTTTGCAGTGAGCTAGAGGTAATCAAAAACGAGCAACAAAAACCCAATATGGTGTGCCTCTTTGACCAACTCTCCCCATCCACATGGACCAGGCAGTTCTGTACTACTTTTTCTTTGTTGTATGTACTGTTTCGAGCTATCATGGATCCTCCAAAGCCCAGCCTAGATGTCCATAAAATCTATTAATTCTATACATGTGGATTGAACATAAGGCCCTGCTCCTTAGAACTGATCTTATCAAAGATATTTTTCTAACCAAGACCTTCTTTATCTCTTATTTGTTCTTTCTTATTTCATATAGACTGGGCAATTTGGGGAATATGCTATTGTTTTGTGATGTATGGTATAGTAGCATTATTTTTAGTAACCAAAGGCTGCTCCTTCACCAAAACATACAAGATGCTGGCTGTATTTTACATCAACATTTGGCTTTTGTTCTAGTTCTCTCTCTTTATGCAGTGACAAAAAAAAAATCAGTCACAGAGAAGGTTAACACAATGGCTATTCTGAAACGGGGACTATAATATATGACTTGGGGGATATATTTCAGTTTAGAGACATTTATTCAGAATGCCCATGGTGCCTAAGAGCTACCATGTAGAATTACACAAATCTATTCTCCCAGAATGGCAATGAAAGCCTATTTGCTACAAGTTCAGCATGTGTAATGGAGAAAGGAAGAGAAAGGGAGAAATAGTGGTTCATTGTAGTCCCAGTCAAAATGCAGATATTTGTATGGGCAAGAGAAAGCAGCATCCACTGGAGATGCCCACCAGGGTGTCTGAGATGAAATACCTACTCAGGGAAAAGAGTGAATCCCTAATCAATGAAAAAAAATGGGAAGGAAAGGGGCCTAACAGTATCAGATCTCAAACTACTAAAGTATAAGTATCAATTTGGTATGGGGTAGGAAATACAGAGGTTGATCAGTAGAAAAGATCAGAATCATAATGTACCAAAGCAAATAAGCACAACAACACAGTATTTAATAAACCCAAAGATCCCAACCCTTGGGGCAAGTACTCATTGTTTGACAAAAACTGTTTGAAAAATTAGAAAGTAGCCCAGCAGAAACTAGGCATAGACAAACAGTTCACACTATATACCAAGATAAGCTCAAAATGGGTACATGATTTAGACCAAAAAATGATACCATAAGCACATTAATGGAGCATGGAAGAAATTACTTGTTAGATCTATGGATAGGGGAAGAGTTTGTAACCAAAAAAGAAATAGAGAAGTTTACATGAATTAAAAGGAATAATTTTAATTAAATACAATTAAAAGTTTTACACAAAAAAACCCAAAGAATCTAAAATTAGAAGAAAAGCAGGAAACTAAGAAAAAAGTTTTGCATTAAGTTTTTCTGGTAAAGGTCTCATTTCTAAAATATATAGGGAACTGAGTCAAATTTATAAGACTAAGATCCCTACTCCAACTGATAAATGGTTAACAAATGTGAAAAAATCTAAGCTATCAATATCCACATAAAAAAACTCTAAATTACTAAAATTAAATGCAGATTAAAACAACTCTGAGGTACTAATTCATACCCATTAGGTTGGCTAAGGTGATAATAAAGGAAAATGACAAATGTTGGAGGGCATGTGGGAAAATCAGTATACTAAGGCACCGTTGGTAGACCTGTGAACCAGTCCAACCATTCTGGAAAGGAATATGCCTAAAAAGTTATTAAACTGTGTATTTCCTTTCAAAGAAATAAGTAAAGAAGCCTTATGTACAACAATATTCATAGCAGCTCTTTCTGTGGCAAAAAAAGGGAAGTGGGGAGATGCACATCAAGTGGGGAATTGCTGAGCAAGTTATGGTATATAAATGTTAAGGAATACTATAGTGCTATATGAAATAATGAAGGGGGCAGCCTCAGAGAAATCTGGGAAGACATGTATGAACTGATACAAAGTGAAGTGAGCAGAACCAGGAGAAAATGTATATAATAATGCAATATTGTAAAGATAATCAACTTTGAAAGACTTAGTAACTATGTACAACACAACAACCCACCATAATGCAATGAACTTATAATGAAACGTTATTCACCTCCAGATAGAGAAATAGACTATGAGTGCAGCTTAAAGCATATCTCTCTCTCTGTCTCTCTCTCTCTCTCTCTCTCTCTCTGTCTCTCTCTCTCCATGTGTGTGTGTGTGTGTGTGTGTGTGTGTGTGTGCGTGTGTGCATATGCATGTTGGGACATAACTAATGAACTAATATGGGAATTTGTTTTGCATGACTATATTTTTTGTAATGGGCTTTGTTTTTCTTGACTTCTCAATAAGGGAAGAATGGAAGAGGGGGGAGAGAATTTGGAACTGAAAATAAAATAAAATTAGATTTAAAAAATATATACCACAGAGAGAGAAAAAGGTGGGGGGAGAGAAACATCTAACCATTCTACCAAAACCTGAGGGATAAGCTCAAACTTCTTATGTCAGAACTCAGCCTCATGGTTACTTTGGACAAATTCGTCAAGGCTTCACTTTTGCTTTCTACACCAGGAAAAATAAATTGCTATCCTGAAATTATTAATACATTGGATTAGAGATATCCCAGGGTTTTCATCAGAAAATCCCCATGAAAATTCTTTGCTAAAAATGGTAAATATTGGAGGGAATATGGGAAAATTGGGACACTAATGCATTGTTATTGGAATTCTGAACTGATCCGACCTTTCTGGAGGGGAATTCGAAACTGGGCCGAAAGAGCTATAAATCTGCACATACCCTTTGACCTAGTAATAGCACTAGTAGGTTTGTATCCCAAAGAGATTTAAAAAAAAAAGGATACAAAGATATTTATAGCAGCTCTTTTTGTGGTGGCAAAGGATTGGAAATTGAGGAGATGCCCATCAATTGGGGAATGGCTCAACAAATTGTGGAATGTGATTGTAATGGAATACTATTGTGCTATAAGAAATCAGTAGGGTGCTTTCAGAAAAAGCTGGAAAGCATGAACTGAAGCAAAGTGAAGTAAGCAGAACCAGGAGAACATTGTACACAATAACAGCAATATTGTATAATGATCAGTTGTGAATGACTTAGCTATTCTCAGAAATACAGCAATCCAAGACAATTCCAAATAACTCATGAAAAAATACTATCCACCTCCAGAGGAAAAAAAAACTGATAAAGCCTAAATGCAGATTGAAGCATACTATTTTTCATTTTATTGTTTTTTTGGGGGGGCAGGTGTCTGTGTTTTCTTTCACAACATGACTAATATGGAAATATGTTTTGATGACTGCCCATGTATAACCTATATCTAATTGCTTTCTTTTTAAGGGGTGGGGAAGGTGAGGGAGGAAGAGAAATAATTCCAAACTCAAAATTAAAAAAAAATGTTAAAATTGTTTTTTTATATGTAATTGGGGAAAATAATATTCAAAAAAAAGGAAAATTATTTGCTATAGGAGAAAGCTTTCTAGGTTAGGGAAAGGCATACAGGGAGAAAAGCAGATGATGTAAGAGCAACAGCCATCAATAAAAATCTATTTTTAAAAAAGAAAATTACTGCAAAAGGTTTCTTTAAATCCTTAGGTCAAGGTTGTGGCTATGGTTGTGTGTATGTACATTATGTGTCTATACATATGTGTATGCAAATACATATATATGATACATGAGGATACATTTGGGGCATACATTATGTATTGATGCATATTTGCCAAATTATTGTTCATTGAAATGAATTGAATAGAATTGTATTTGCATACAACTGAATGTGCTTGTGACTGCAGATTCTGTCAATGGAAGCATCTGATAACTTCACAATGGGCCAGCAACTTCTACATTTAGAAGACTCTGGCAACACTTGGCTAGTGGGGGGTGAGGACCTATGCTGGTGTGCATAAAGTCATTCTCAAGTTTCAGAGTGGTGTGCAATTCATCTGCATATAAAATCAAACTTGGGGCACTGTGTCTTTTCCAAATTTAATCTATAATAGAGCATGAATCTCTGAAGAAAGAATAATGTCTGAGAGGAGGCCAACTTTGAAAGTGGTTGATTCACTATCTTTTGGCTATTGTGTTGTTACGTAGATATTTTCAAACATTTTTCAGTTGGATTTAAAAAGTCAAGAAACAAGATAATTCTATTAAATAAGACACTTTCTCCCTTTTACAAATGGGTCTTATCTTAGAAGAAGTTAAGGTCAAGAAATTGCTTGAAGATGACTTCTCTTATGTGTCTGATCAGTAAGTTAGCAAGGGAATTGAAGTCTCCTCATGGCTACAACTATGAGAGATAAGATATGGGCTATATATAATGATGCCTGAGAAAGTATTATGGGCCAAAGTGCAGATGAGAAGCATCAGTGAATCAAGGAAATGAAAAGACTAGGCAGGACTATGATAAATTGGGGGAAGAGAAGGGAGAAGATTTCATTTGTTTCTCCTAATGATTACCTATCAACTTTGCCTCCTTAAAGACTTCCCTGTGCTATTAGATAATGAAAATGTATTGCCAAAACCAAACAAGATCAATGAGAAAATGTGGCAAGGTCCATTTACTTATGATAATTCCTCCCTCATTTAGTTATGAAAACCACTTAGTAATTGGTTGAGAGAATTATCTTAAATTTGGCATAGTACCTAATATGCACACACAGTATTATTTTTAAGCAATATGTGTATTTAGCTGGCATCAAACTAATTAGGAAATATGTATTTGCACAGTACCCAGCTTTAAAGTATAATAGTGTAGGGGGGAAGAATCATCCTCTGGAAGACTTGACAGGAAGCTAATGTTTGTTTGTCCCTGGAACATTTTATGTTCTTAAAAATTCCAAATGTTATTAACACACCAATTTTCTTTTAAGAAGCCAATTTGGTTTACTGAACAAATATCTCTTTAGCTGGGAAGCAATGTTCTAACAAAGTTTTCTATTTTGTTCTGCATTCTTGCCTGCTATCAAGGTGTCTAGATCACACAATTGCTTGGGGAACATGTGTGTGGAAAGAGAGACAGACAGACAGACAGAGAGACAGAGAGAGACAGAGAGAGAAAGACAGACAGACAGACAGAGAGAGACAGAGACAGAGAGAGAGACAGAAAGAGAGAGAGACAGAGAGACAGAGAATGATATACACGTGCGTTGTCTTATATGGATGAATGAATTCACAACACAGGGAAGAGGCTATATGTTAAAATGGAAAGATCATTGAACATGAAGTTAGAAAACTTGGATTTGAGTCCTTGTTCTATCGTTAATTGTATGTCCTTGGGTGAAAGTCACTTTACCTTTAACTAGCCCTCATCTATAAAATTGGGATGATCCATTCACCACCTCCTTCATATGATTATTGTATAGATCAAAAGAGATAATATACTAGCTGTCCCAAAAGTCTTACTGTATTTATTAGGCTTAGGTAGCTTGAAATTGCATTAAGATCCTGTATGTGAAAGTGTCTTCTAATCACATATACTTCAAGTATCTATGATTTTGTCAGTGGGTGGCATTCACTCCACCAATAAAGATATCAGATAGCAACTGCTCTATAATTAGGTAGATGGGTTTCAGAGTTGTTGTAACTATGACCCACATGGTGATGAGCCTCTCAACACACATCATTCCCAGATGACAAACACATAGGGCTAACCTTGGGGTCATTATTCAAAACCTTTTCACTTTTATAGGTCCAAACAGGACTTGTGCTCTTCTGATCTAGCCTCTGAGACTGCAGGGTTAACTCTCTGCTACCATATAAATATTAGTAACTTTTAGCATTCATGTAAAAAATATGATCTATAAATCCCTCCAGAATGCCTAACAAAGAGTCAGAATGGGACTGGCATAAGGGGTAAGGGGGACAGGCAGAGATAGTGAGTGTGGAGTACAAATAATATTAGGATGGAGGGAAATGATGGTAAGTCTTGCTTAGTTTTGGTTCATCTGTTAAAAAAGGAAGTGAACTGAAATTTTACTGACCCTGCTGATGGAGAACAACAGTCCTGGCCTGTCTGTGCACACTCCAGTGAAGCAAAACCTGAGTTTCCAGTAAAACAAATGTTCCCAGACAAAGGTGATGAGGCTGAGTGCCATGGCAGCAGCAAGCATGTAGAACACTCCTGCCATGTTGTCAATGTCCAGCTGGCTGCTCATCACCTCATTCTTCTCATTGTGGCAGATTCCCGTCAACCAGAGTGTCTCCAGCTCCTCCATCTCTCCTAAAGGGACCAACATATTGTTTAGTGAGGATGAGGAGAAACTTCTGTTCATTCCTTCTCTTCTTCCCCAACAAATACCTAGGATAATACAAAGTGGCAAGTTGGCTCCATTTAAAAAGACTGTCATTCAATTAATTAAAGAAAAAAGTTTATGATGCACCCACTATATGCCAGGCACTGTGCTATGTGCTAGAGATACAAATACAAAAAATAAAATTTGAACAATCATTGTTCATGAGGATCTTGCACTATATTCCATTTCTCTGTAACCTCTGCACTTAAAAACATGAATTCAAAAGGAAAAACCTCAAATTCCTGTGAAATGCCTCATCCCCAAATTAATCACTTCCCCAGCTCAAGGTGAAATTCAAGAAACTTGTAATGATCCTGAAGTTGTCTTGTGTTGTATTGAACACTGGGTGATTAAAGTGTGAGAGGCAAGACTTTGTGCCCAGGTTTTCCTAACTCCAAGACTGGTTCTCTACCCATTATGTCCTGCTGCCTCTCGCTGCTTTGCATACAGAAGGACTTCAATAAAGGATTTTTGTTTGTCTATTTATTTGTTTTTAAGTTGAATTACCATTTGGGAATATTTTGCCCCCAGTTAAAAATCTTCAACAACAAAGGGGATTGGTAGTTTACTTGTAGCACTGACTCCAGTATATTAGGTAGAGAGTTGCACTAATCCTTACTTCAATTCTGCCATCAATACAATTTTCTCTTGACCCCTCCCCAACCTCCAGTAATGCAAGATTCCCCTTAAGTCATTTGCCTGTCTAGCTTTGCACATATACAGAGGCGATTGTCTATGGGGACCTTGTGTTGTTGTTTCATTAACCACAACACCTAACAGATTTCTGCAGTCTGCCACCCTCCACGTGCCTTGCTGTGTATGTTTTTTGCTTCCTTGCCTTGTAACAACACCAGCTGCCATCCTTTAAAAATATCATGCACTGCTCATTTTCCCCATTTACAGTGTTGTAAGGACATGGGAATGTTCTTCTGGCAAGTCTGCCATAGTTACAGAAGTCTTCAATGTTCTTTATTTTGTATGAGTAGATTGTATGTGTGTGTGTGTTTTCATGTGTGCATTATGTATGTATATATGGCATATGTAGTCAGAAACAAGAACCCAGGTCTTCCTTTTGCCAAGATTAGACTTTTATCTACTATGCCCTACTGACTCTCACATAAAACTTAGTAGATAGTTAATATATGTTTATTAAGTTTAATTGAATCTCCGATACTGGATTGAGGAGGGTCCGGGAAAGGAACTGCGTACTTACCACCCAGGCCTACTTCCAGGTGTCTTTTCTTTGACTGATGGAATCTGGAGCTAGTTGCATGACCTATCACCACTTTCCTAACTTCCCTAGATTTCAGTTTCCTTATCCATAAGATGAGTGAATAATCTCTGACATGCCTTCCAGTTCTATTCTTAGCAATATACGATCTCCAGTTCTTAAAATAGCTTGCATTTGATTCAACAAAGAAACAATGGAAGAAATATTTTCTTTGCCCTTTTCCCAAGGAAGTATTGGTTTTTTATGTAGCCAGTAAGACAACTCGCTAAAACTCAGCCAGGATTGTAGATTTTCCACAGTTCTTATTATTATATAATTCACCTGGTAATGTAATATACTGCTTTGTGACATCACTTCTACTGCAATCTTGAACTGGTATTCAAATATTTGATGATTATTGATCTTTCCCCTTTTATGCACTCTTTCTAACTAGATAGTAAACTTGAAGAGGGAAGGGACTGAGTTCTATATATCTCTGTATGCATTCCCCAAAAGTATCTTGTATACAATAAATAAATTTAAAAAATGTTGATTTGACTTCTCTTTCAACACATTAAAAAACAGTAAAATTTGGCAGATAGAGAGCCAGTTTCTGAGCCAAGAAGACCTGGGTTTGATTCCTACTTCTAACACATAGAATAAGTCACTTTAGTTTTCAGTACTATAGGGCTAGAGGTATTGAGAAACACAACACTCCCAGTAGGTCTGAATCAGATTAAAATGTAGTCAGGAAATATTTAACAAAATAAATAAAAATGTGATACAACACAGAGAGTGTTAATTTGTCGTTTTCTAAGTCAATATGCTCTCCTTAGGGATCTGCTTCTATTTGAGTTTGACACCATTACTCTAGGCAGCTCTCAGAGACTATACATTTGGGGGAAGAGATTGGCCTGCATTAGTAGAGTCTCCATATCTATAGTTCTTTATCCCAATGTAATCACAGGATAACTCCCTATCATTCCAGCCATTACAAGATTTTAAATTGAGAAGGAATGGAAGATTTTCAGTTCTGGAATGTTTCTACTCCCCATCCTAATATACAACAGGGAGAAAGAATAAAAGTGATTTTTATGAGATTGAAAACAAGACAATGAAATCTAGGTATTTTTCCTGAGTGAGGAATCAAGTATCTTTTTAAAAACACAACCATCTAAAGCTTAGCCTACTGACAGTTTTCCAATTTGTCAAAGGAAAAAACTTTGGAGGATGATTCAATCTCTGCCCCACAGCACACTCATATTCTCTTTGGTGCTTAGAAAGACACAAACTAAATAGTCTCTTGCAGGCAGAGGAGCGGTAGGCTGGTCTGTGCCTGGGGCATGCTCCTTCCTCCTAGCTGGCAGGCCACCAAACAGTTGGAATCTCTCCACCAGCCAGGACCATGATTTTATTGAAGAAGAATCTGCACGTTTGTCAGTCAGAGGAGGCCTGCATTCTTACTGCATTGCTGCTGAGAGGATAGCTCAGGTCTACCTGCCCTGGCATCATATGCCATCTTGTTTCAATTCAGCCTAAGAAAAGATGCAGGACTCCAGGGGAGAAAAAAAGAACAACAGTGAAACAGTAGTTTTCTTCTCCCAAAATGTACTTAAGCATGGCCTCTACCTTGCTCTCAGATCAAAAGGCACTGACAGAATGCCCACAAAAATTATCCAGTCTATGGCTGACATTGGCAGGCACTCCAGCCTTTTTTACATTTAGAGTGGGGAAAGTCTGCTTGTGAAGAAGAAATGGTTTGAAAAGAAAGGGGGATATTTTTTAGTTGTACTTAAAGGAAAATTTCTTATTTCCAGGTGAAATTAGCATTGGAATGTACTACTGAGGAAGGTTTTACTCAGCCAACAGACCACCATTACACTATGTGGTGCTTCTCTGAGTTTGGGGTTAGGGGTGGGAAGGGGAGGAGGGCTGTACCAGGAGACAGATTGAGGAGGCAGTACAGTGCACTGAGAAAAGCTCTGAACTTTCTTGTCAAACACAGAGTCATGGCACCTGAGTTCAAATCCCACTTATTGCCTGTGTGGCTTTGAGCAAATTACTTAACCTCTTTGGGTCTCAGTTTATCCAGCTTTCAAATGAAGAGGTTGTACTAAATAGCCTGTAAAGTCCCTTTCAACACTAGCTCTATGGTCCCATCATCCAATGCATGAATGATAAGTTAGTAACAGAAGTATGACTCAATCCTGGTCTCTGGGCTTCCAGTCTTTCCAATACAGTGGATGGGGTCATAACAGGTCCCTTCTAACTCTATTAATATAATGTGCTTATCCTACCCAAAGGAAAGGCCTAACATAGTGAAAAGTTTCCTTGATATCTGAAATATCAAAAACCAGTTCACAATATTTCCTTAGGTTTTTTTTTTTCTCAGTATTTTCTAAAAGGCTAGAGGAACTCTCCCACTTTTCAAATTGCATTTAGTTCTAGCATATAGCATGCCAGAGAGCTAAGGGGACTGCTTCTGGAAAGAATTTTTATATCATCCAATGCAACTGGCCTTTAGACTTTCATAGCCTTTCTCCCCCAAGGCATTTCTTGAAAAATCCATTATGAATCTGTACCCCTTAGGCCTCTTTAAGTGACAGAGATCTCTATGGCATACATACTGAGGGAAATACACACATACACACACACACACACCTGTATACATTTCTTTCCACCAACACAGATCATAGCCCCTTTATGACTTAGTAAATAGGTAGCCTTGGTGAGCTCTTACAGATGAAAAATTCTTACCCAGGGCCAATGTGGTAATGAGTGAGTATTCTAGAAATGATGATTTAGGAAAAGACAGAACCAATAGACTGAAAAGTAACATCTGACATCTACCTCTCTCTCATATTTGGGAAAACCAAAACTTAGGTTCTCTCAGGACTCTCTTATATATATATATATATATAATATATATATGCATATATATATTATATATATGCATATTTATATTTTATATATGTATATATTTATATATGCATATATGTATGTATATATATATACACACACATACATACATACATATACATACACATATATGTATGTGTATATATATATATATTTGTGAACTGTAACGTAATAAACAAATTGGAGATATTTGTATTCTCTAGCTATCAATTTGGTACACTTATGCTTAGACATGATAATAATAATAATCATAGTAATAGTAATAATTATATGGACTAATACCATTATTCAATTACAAAAAAGCAGCTGTTTTTTCTACCTTGCAATAATCTGTAAAACATTAAGTGAAAAAGGATAATAGTAGGATAGCAACTTGTCTTAGGATCATTTCTACCAGAATCCATTGAAAAAAAAAAACTAAGAATGATATGAATAATGCTGATGATGATGGTAATGGTGAAAACTCAAATTTAAGGCTTGCAAAGTACATTATATACATTCACATTTCATACAATAACCACTGGAAGTGGTGCTATTATTTCCATTTGAGGAATAAAGAGATTAAATGGCTTCCCCGGGAGCACATAACTGGTAGGTAATAGGTTGAGAGAGTCAGAAGTCTAGAACTCCAAGGGATGCGGAGGCCACCTAGTTCAATCCTTTCATTTTGCAGATGAAAAAACTGAAACCAAGAGAGTTGAAGTCTTACCTAAGGACAAACAGCAAACATCAGAGGATCTGAAGTAATATTTCAACTCAAGTCTTACTGACTCCAAACCTAGTATTTTAATCACTGCA